GAATGAAACTGCCACCGCTAATCGTTATCGACAACAATTGTACACATTGAAGCGAGCATTGGACTGAAAACGATCACCAATTGCGAGTAAACGACGCAAAGTGATCCTTTTTCATGACAATGCTCGACCTTATGTTGTATCATCAGTGAAGCAAACGCTATTAGAGCTGGAATGGCAAGTCTTACCGCACTCCATATATTCTCCAGACATTGCTTCATCCGATTATCGTTTGTTCCGGTCGATGCAACATGCTCTAGAGGATACACATTTTCATAACTTGGAATAAGTGCGAAAATTTGTTGAAAATTGGATCAACTCCAAAAAAGAATCTTTTTATCATCGTGGAATCCATCTTTTGTTAGAAAGATGGGAGAAAGTTGTAGGAAACGAAGGGGAATATTTTGATTAAGGTATTCGTTCATTACCTTGTTTAAGTAAAACAGTTTTTGAGAAAAAAGATCCTCAAATCACACTTCTAATAGTTAGGATAAAGGTGGGAATTTCCGAAAGAGTTCGCAACTTTACAGTACGAAGATGTAAAGTGTAGGAATAGAAGGACATGTAGAGAAAATCTTCTGTAAACTTTGCAAGCGCTAGAAGCGAGTAGGTCACTCGCCTTAATTAAAACAAATCATTGTTTATAACTCCGATAATATTAATTTTTCGACTCATGTTTATTAGGATTTTTTTCCTCCATTTTGTGAGTACTATTTGCCTTTAAAATCCTGAACTCTTTTTCTTAAACACCCTGTATAAGTACTAAATAGGAGGAACACTTTTTATGTCACTATGTCCCAAAGAATTAAAAGTAACTTGTTAGAATTATTTTATATACATTTAGCCAGTCAATCCTTGTGCGATATCAGGCAGGCTTGCTGAAATTTCTAATCTCGGGAGTACTTTTATCAATTTTTTACTCCAAACAAATAACTTGTAACGTTGTAAATATACAACGTGCTGCTTCTCGATTTTGGTCATTAATACGCGCGTGCGTGCATACACATACATACACACACACATAGTCGAACTCGTAGTATTATTGGGGCCCAAGGAGTCCTTAAAACGTCCCTGTCGATGATCGGTAGTAGCTTCAACTTTCCATTTCAGGCGCAGTGCGAATCCGGAGCGGCGCGCAATTTCATCGGAGTTCTCGTAACTTTCGGCGAGATAAGGGAAAAGGAAAACTTTACGAGCTTGACCGTATCGTGCGGTTTAAGGACCGTCCCCCCTATTCTCGCGCCCTCTGCCTCCCCATCTTCCTTCTCCTCCTTCTTCCCCTCAGAGTCGTTTTCCCCTCGATCAGCGATATTGTCGCCTAACTTTTCTCGCCGCGAACGTAAACACGCGCTAAGTAACGTTCCCGCGAGATATTAGCCCTTTTTGCCCGGCCAGCCCATTAAGGGATTGCCGGGGCCTCATTAAGGCGCGCGGAGCGCGGCCATCGGGACAGCGGCGTCCTCGCAGCACCGACGACATTCCCTAAGTTCCTGCGAGGGGTTCCACCTCCGCCTGGGTGACTCGCGTCGTGAGTTTTATGCGCGCGAGTGCACGCTTCTAAGCCGTGGAGGGAACGGGAGACGCGGGGGAGTCATCTTAGTGCATACTCTCGAGCGTCCGGTACGAGCGTTCGATCTTATTATTTCGCGAATCCCTCGAAAGGCTCTCGTCGTCCCCGGAGGGAGCCCCTTTTCTTCGTCGCTTACTGTCGCGACGTACGTTCGATAAGTGCCTCTCTCATTATCACCTTTATCATCGTCATCATCATCATTATCATCATCATCATCATCATCATCAGGAACGTTACGTGACGTCAGCGAGCGAGAGAAGTACACACGGTAGTTAAAGGCCGTGCAAATGAAAGAATCCAGGGAGGGAAAGTTTTGACGCGGTGTAATTTGGACGATCTGCACGCGAAGGCTCGTGTATGACGTCGGTCTAACGAGCAGCCCCGGATAAGCTTTTCTTCATTCTTTTTTCTATCTCCTTCGCTTCCGCGTCTAGCCTCTTTCACGTTTGAAGCGTACCATTAATTGCCGGCACCGATCGTGCGCCCGGTATAGGCGCTCGAGAGTGAAAGACGGCGCTTCCGTTCTCGTTCCATCGTCATCGTCGTCGTCGATAGGATACGCGGCCGTTCGCTTCTCCGCGCCCCGGCCGTCGTAAACAACGTCGAACTGCACACCTCGGTCGCAGGTGGTTCGTTTAATCTCGCGACGGCCTCGCAGGTAAAATTCGCGATTAGTCGCGAAATATCGCGATTCGCATCTTAGAATCTCGATGTTCAAATTTTTCAGATAATCCTTTCGCTATGGCGCGCTTAACTCTTTCAGTACATGTTATCCTTTAAAAATGTCTGGCAATATCTTATCTAGGGACCTTTCAGGTCGCTGAATCCAAATCTATGAGCAAAATTTTTTAATTTTAGAAATTCAAGATAGCAGATTCAATATGGCAACTAACAATATAAAAACATGGATCTAGCTTAGAAAAACGCATCGGTTTGTTGTTGGATTATTTTTAAAACATTGCACTTTTTCAAATGAATAATATATTTTTCAAACAAATGAAGAAGATTATATTTTTGACACAAAAGATATTAATAACCAAAAAAAACATGGCCGAGAAACCTGAAAAAATATTGAAGAGTATTACATTAAGTATAAGAAAAAATAACTTGCGTGATGATTTTTATTTTTAAAGTTCATAGGCACTACTTTAAGAAAAAGCTATTAATTTTAGCTATACGTTGATTTCTAATACTTTTGCAATTAACAATTAATGATTGTATATACTTTTATTACTTACCAATGTTCTAGGGACCCTAAAGAATAGGAAAACCTCATATCTTTTGTTAAAAAACCTTGAGAAATTTAGAAAAAAAGAAAGATAGGTGAAATGCTCAGCGTTAAAGTGTTTTCGCACACAAATTACCGTAATCGTAAACATTAGATGTAAACATAAGAACGAATTAATCTGTTGCTCTAGCTTAAGAACCAATTGACTCAAGAACCAATCAGGACGTTATTTTAAGTTTGTTTGCTCTACAAGAATTGACAGTTTTGATCATAAGCAGTTTTAATTAGGATTTGAGGATGAAATTCTTGTTACTTGGTCTAAATCCTAATTGCTCCGTTCCTTCTCGACAGAACAATGTCCTAAACCAATAAGAAATGGAACAGTGTCCTGAAAAGTCAATCTTTGCGAAGTATAATTTTACCAAAATAGTGGAAACGCGCGATTATACCGTTCTACGATGCTTTTGAATGAGAATTAATGTTATTGGAGATCGACAAATTTTGTGTTTTGCTTTTTGCGTCTCCCCTAACCTGACATAGAACTCAGAATCTAACATAGAACATAGAAGACATACGATACGAACGTAAAGAGTTGAATATTTTCAGATGGCGTATAAAGACTCAAGCACAGACATAACAGATGTTATGTCTTATTGCACAACTTCAGTTACTTGTCGGGGACTTTGACAAACTTTCGAAACTCTTCTCAAATCGTTCGCTGAGAAGAATCGTTGTTCTAGTTTAAGGTTAGGCTCGTTTATTCCCGCGTGTAAGTAAACGGACTATAAAGCCAATCGAATGGAGTTTCCTGAAACATCAACTTTGTGATTACATGTCAACGATACACAAGAACGTCTGTCCCTCCCTTTCCTTGTTCTCGCACCCCTCCGAGCTCTCTCAGAGACGCGTGGCCGAAACGCTTTCCCTCGGAGAGGAGCGCGAGCTACCTATTAATCGATCTTCCACCAATGCGACCGCAGGCTGATGAACCTCCTGAGCGAGGAGGTCGCACGTGAGAGAGCTTACGCGCTTGACATATCTTCGCGGGTGCCCGAAGCATCAGAGCGATCTCCGTCGTCGGATTAACGGGAGAATCGAGCCGCCCCGCCTCACCTCAGGGAGGACCGCAGGACCGTAGTGGATAGGAGGCGAAGGAGCTGACGGCGCGAAGGAGGACGAAAAGGGGGGACAGTATAAGCGGGCGAGAGAGGGTACGGCCGAGGAAGGGGACGGCCCGCGGGCGGCGGGGACCCGGCAGGGTAGAGGGGGGCGGGAGAGGAGGAACACGCTCTCCTCCGGTGCACACTCTCGTGGTGACTCCGACCGGCAAAGTGCTCGCGTTCGTGAAAGTCCACAGACGACTTTCAGGGTCGTCTGCTCCGCGCTCGTCGTTCCGTCCCGAAGAGCCGGCCTCGCGCGCTCGACCAGAGAAGGAGCTGTCTCGGGACGAGAGGAAGACATCCTCGCATTACCGCGTGTTTCGGTGAGGCGCAAGGACCCGCGATATTATCCTCTCCCGAGAAAACCCAACAGGGAAAGAGACGAAGAGAGAAAGAGTGGGGGGAGAGAGAGAGAGAGAGAGAGAGAGGGAGGAAAAGAGTTTCCGGACGTTACGCTAAGTGACCCTGAGATTCGGAAGGAGTGTCCTTGCGTGAAGAATACAAAGGATTCGGAAAGTTGCTCCACGGCAACGGGTCTTCCCTTCCCCCTCCGCCCCCAATCGAGAATCTGGACGCGCGACTGTCGTCAGTTAAGTGGTCGCGTTTGTGTCCTGACCCGATGTGACGTTCCGGTGAGCGCGAAGTGTCTCATCGCGGAAATCCCGGCTTGATCCTGCATGCGGTGTGAGCCACTTCAGCTCCGAGTCGGCAAGCGGTGCGAATCTACAAGGGACCAGTGCGACTTGTCCATTCGTAGCTCGTACTTGCTCTCGGCTTCCCGAGAACAGCGTCTCGAGGTGTGAGACACGGCTGCGCGTCCTCGTCATTGGTCCCAGGAATACTGATGAGTTTACTGGGTGTTCCTTCTAGTGTCGACCTCAGGGATCCCGGTGAATCCAAGTAGTTGCAGTGTCTGCGTGTGCGGCTCGGGGCGCGCGTGTTGCGGCGGACGCTCAAGATCGGGCCGGGGAGTCGACAGTAGCCGTTGGGCTGGTTCGATAGACGCGAATAATAATAGGTTAGAGTGCTTGTACGCTTAACCGTGCGTGTCTCAACGCGCCGCGACGCGCCTACGTTCCTCTTCCGAGCGAGGAGAGCCAACGACACCATTCGCTCGCCCAGAGTAAGCAGAAACGCAGCAACGTGCAACGTATCTGTCTGTCTCGTATTGTCTCCCTCCCTCTTCTCCGTTCAGCCGTGAGACTCTAGCCTGCCGCTAATTATCACTGACATATACTGATCTGCAATTAACAGCCACCCCGTACATCGCACACGCGCGCAACGTGGGTGAGCGATTTCGGCGAGAAACGCGACACGCCACTCGTCTTCAAGATTCCGTTCCTCGCGAAGATGACGTCCCGCCTGCGCGGCCCCTCGGCGGTGAAGGACACACCGAGGGCCGCCCCCTTCGCCAAGGACCACTTCCATCGCGAGCCGGAAGTGCACTCCGGCCGGTTGTGCAAGAACGGCGACCGCAGCAATCGTTATCACTTCGGCATGTCGAAGCACGATAGCAAGGCGGAGCGGAACGGCCGGGAATGCGGCAAAGAGGACACCGCAGTGGAGGAGGACAGCGCTGACCTGCTGTACAGGAAGAGCAGGCAGCATTTCGCTGCGTGGCAGATCAAGGACATCGTGCAGGATGACGGCGTCGCTGGTGGCTGCGGCGCGAAGAGGTCGTCGCGGCGGCAGGAGCACGAGAACTCGCGGCATTTGACGAACGGCAAGTTCAGGAGCGAGTCCATGGGCGCGAAAATCGCGGACAAGTCGCAGCAGGATCGCTTGGAGTATCGGGACGAAGGATACGTGGGCTCCTTGCCACGGGAGGACCGCCAGCGGGGCGAGTCCGTCGAGCGAGAAATCAACGGCTCTCACAGGACCAAGAGGAAAGAATCCTCCTCTTGGGAGGACATGGAGTCGCGGGGTCGCGGGAGGTCGTCGAAAGCCATCGGTAAGAGCCACGACAACAAAGGCGACTCGCAGCAGCAGCAACAGCCGATTGACGAGCGGGACATCCTGCTGAAGGAGATCGAGAGCCTGGCCGTGGACGGCAGCCAGTCGCCGGATCGCAGGATCCAGGCGATGATCGAGCGGCTGAAGTCGCGGGAGGAGAACAAGCTACGCTCCAGAAGGGAGCAGAGATCGGCGAGTCCCGAGAAGGAAGCGCGTGGCAGGACGAGAAGCGGCGGCAGGCTCGAGCCGCGAGCGTTCGTCGACCAGACGCTCGATAATCGATCCAGCGAACGCGGCAAGAGGCCGAAGGACGAGCACGAGGACGAGCGGAGGCCGAGTGAGCCCAAGTTGCGCGGGATGCTGTCAGACCGCGAGGAGGATCGGAGGTCGAAGAGCGTGGAGAGGCAGCCGAGCGAGGTCCTGTTCTCCGACAAAGAGCGTGAGCCTCGTAGGGATGACAGTTTCCGGAAAGGCAGGAGCGACACCTACAGCGCCGAGAAAATTCACCGTAGAAGATCGAGGGAGGACGAGGACGAGGAGCAGTCGCGGCAACCGAGGGACAGCTCGAAGAGGAGAAGCTACGCTTACGAGGGTTCGCCGGAGGACTTTGACGTGAGGATACAGAAGTATGACCGGGCTCTCTTGGAGCCTAGAAGGGATCTGGACACACCGCGTAGGAGTTCGCCCAAGGACCCCAGTCTAACTAGGAAGGAGTCTCTGAAGGAGCACGATCGTGAGCCAGTGAGCAAGAAGAATTCCTTCCGAGCGGAGTCCAAGAGGACCAGCAGCAAGGACCGCGAGTCCAGTTTAACGAGAAGGACGTCGTTCAAGGATCAGGATAACGATGGGTACAAGAGGCACGTTTCGAAGAGCCCGCTCGAGCCTGCCGTGAGAAGTACATATTTTGGTAAAGATCAAGAGGACTCGTGTTCTCGCAAGGATTCGTTCAAGGATATGAGCGTGGAGACGGGCAGGAAAGGATCCTTTCTCAAGGTACAGGACGGTGCATTTGAAAGGGCGTACCTAAAGGATTCATCGCATGACGACGTAGAGCGGAAAGTCTTCGCCAAGGAGCACGCGGTGAGTGGCGTTAGCAGGATCGTACTGAGAAATTTCGATGACGAATCGGGTAGGAGCAACTCCTTTAAGAACAGCAGTGAGGATTCCGGGCAGAGGAGCTCGTTTAAGGAAAAGAGCATCGAGTTCGGCGGGATTTCCTACAAGGATCGCGCGAGTGACTCAGAGAAGAGGAACAGCTTCAAGGAGGACGAGGAGGGGAGTCGTGGAAGGACGCTCTATCACGATTACGAGAAGAACAACATTGACAGGAAAACTGCTAACGAACGATATATTGAGTTCGGCAAGGTATCCTTCAAGACGCAGGACGACGAGCTGCAGAGCAGCTCGTTCAAGGAGAAAGACAACATGGCGGTCACGAGGACGAGTTCCTTCAAGGAACGCGACCCTTCCACGAAGAGACGCGCGTCCTTGCGCAACAAGGGCGCTGGCGAAGTGCTTGACAGAAAATCAGACAGACACTTGAGGCCGTTAACGCCGCCAGATCGGAAGGACGAGTCTTTGGAGAGTCGCGAGGACAACGGCAAGGATCCGAAAGGCTTCAGCGCCAAGTCCTGGTACGAGAGCAACCGAGTGTTCTCCAATAAATACCTGCGCGAGCACAGCAAGCTACGCGGCGCACCCGAAGGACGAATCGACCACGACGTCTCGCCCGAGCGAGGACTCGCGATCCTGCCAGACACGAAGACCGCGGTCGAGTACACGTACGCGAACGATCCCGAGGAGGATCCTCGCTTCGGGGTCCTCTCGCGCGGCAGGCTCGATCCTACCGATGACGAGCCGCGTTTCTCGGCCACCAGCGAGCACAACGGCACCACCATAATCAGGATCCGCTCGTCGGAGGAGCAGGCCGGCGCGGAGAGATCGCGCCGCCGCCGTCGCGTCGCGCAGGAAGTGTGCGCAGTGAGACGTCGCAAGGCATACGAGGACGAGGACGACGACGACAGCGACGAGGACGAGGTGGCAGAGGGGAAGGAACGCCGGTGGTGGGCTCGGACGGGCGACGGAGTACTACCGGAAAGGAACGCCACCGCCGGCAACGCCAGCGACGCGACGCCTTCGAGAACGATGTGGAATTACCGCGAAGGGGTATGGCACTTTCATGAGTCAATTGCGTTCGATCGGTCCTTTATGGTACAGAGGCGCGAGGCGATTTTCATCAATCGCTGGAGGAGATGAGCGAGACGAGACTACAAATGAACGAACGAACGAGCGAACGACCGATCCCAGCTGCGGTCTCTCTCTCTCTTACTTTCTTTTTCCCCTTCTCTGTCTCTCTCTTTTTCTCTCTATCTCTCCGTCTGCCGCTTGGGGTAAAATCTCACTGAAAACGTACGAACGTTCACTCGAGAGAGGCGACAGTGAAAACACCGCCGCTTAGGATCACGAAAAAGTGAATGCTTCGTGCTGGAACAGCTTGGAGTGGGTTCTTTACCCATACGAGTGAACGTTTCTGTCGATGTCAGTGAATTTGTTCGCTTGTGACGCTCGAATGCACAGACCGGCGTATAAATAATATTAACGTGCGGTACGATTAGCTCGCTACGCGGGAAGAATTTTTTAGTACGCATTACCAATTGATCTGCAAGGAACAGATTCTGCCTTAACGCACTGCTGCGCCGCGCGACCCGTGCCAGCTTGCACGCTGCCCATTCTGCGCATTTTTGCAGACGAAATAACGTTCTTATGATATATAAATATAAATTTAAATATAAAATATAAATTTCATTTTAAATTTAATTTAATTTTAATTTTAATATAAAATATATAAATTTAAGTGCCCATAAGGTAAATGTCCCAATGATTGAACTAATAACAAAGCTCGATCAATTTTATATTTTTATTAATAAGTAACTAATAGCATTACTAAAAAGATTAATGTTTATATAAAACTTTAGTTTATCAGCTATCAAAAAATAATAGGAAATGAAATAATCAGTAGTTGTATACTGTAATTTTAATGAAATACTAGATAATGTCGTTTGTATTAGTAATTGAACAGAGAAACTAGTCATGTCCTAATTACTAAATACAGACTCAATAATTGAATGTACAATTATATTAATAATTATGATATAAAGAAAATAAAAATAAAATAAAGTAAATTGGTATAAATCCTTTATACCAAAGTCAGGATGACTAAGCCTTTAGCCTTTAGTCTTTAAAAGGTATTTATCTCTTTGAATCTATTGTAAGAGTACGAACAGTGTCAAGCAACTGATTTTTGGTTACTAGAAAGCCTCGTTGCCCAAGATATATTATCCACAATTGCACTTTTTTCTTCTTTACTTAAATAAGTAACTGGGTTCATTGAATCTTCTAAAGGAATTTTATTTTGTGTTGTTTTAGATATTTTAAACTCTGTGTCGCTTCATATATGCTCATTCCTTTCCTAATTGCTTCTACAGCAATGTTAAGAGTAGTTTATGAATAGTTCTTTTTCTTTTCTTCTGTCTCCATAGTAAACTAAAGTTGATAATAAAACAAATAAAATGTTAAATCAACGTAATAAAAGGTTATGTTTTAGGTTAACATTTTATTTCCATGCTGTCACTGTAATTTTGTTATTATATACCTAAAAAGATATTCAATTTAAATGTAAAAACTCTTACTTACAGTTAAAAAAATAAAAATTCTCTCTTCTTATAAGCCTGAATATTTCACAATTTATCACAAATATTTGTTTAATCAATGGGACATAAATGTGACATGTGTACCGATAACTGAACACGTGTTTAATCAATGGGTCATTATAATTTTGACTGTACCAGTGATTGTATATTAATATATTTATATTTAAAAAGAAACTTTTAGGTAAAATGATATTTTTAAATATATTATTTGATAGCTTAAAACTATAAAAAGCATTATGTATTTATAATATAAGTAAATATGAGTAGAATTTTCAAAAATATATTGGAAATATAAACATCATATCTTGTTCAAGATAGTAAGAAACTAGGTGAAAATACGACTATTTCTGTTATACTCAAAATAAACAATTTTTTTACGATGATTTACAGTCAAATTATATATTTTTATAATTTACTTCTATAAAAAAATGTTAAACATCTTTTTTAGTTTATCATTTTGTTTCGTTTATTGGTAAGTATCTTAATAAACAAAAATATATTATTAATAATTTAATTATTGGAATATGTATTGCAAGCACTGGGACGTTTACCTTAAATTATACGAGTAGCTTCAAATAATAAAACAATGATCGTCTTATGCTTCACATGACACTTATACAAAATACATGTGAGAGTAAAAATATGTTACACAATTTAGTGCTTTTCCTTTTATCTTGAGGTGTGATAACATTTGGAATTGACAAGTTTACGCAACGGCACAAGATTAAAAAATATAGCGATATCCATTTTCTTGTTAGCGAAGCGTACTCTGCACCTTCTATGGGGGTACTTCTTTTGTTACCATCAGTGATAATTGGAACAAGTTTGCGTTTTTTAAAGTCCACTTTAAAAGCCATCGCAATTTGTTAACTTATTATCTCTTGTCCCATATGTGCTATTGATATTTTGGGAATTGAAATCTTTGCTATTAAGAAAAAAAAACTTTGTTAGTTTATTTCTGTGCTGTTAGAGAAGATGATACGATTGAGAAGAATTTACATTATTTCCCCCATGAACAATATTTTCTAACCCTAACCAGTATTTCTCTGAACGTAAAACTATTACAGTGCCTGTTGCTGCTTTCCTCGCTTCGTTGAACAATCGATAAATCAATAATCTTTTCGATTACAGAAAATCCCAATAAACGAGTTGCATTCCATGTTAAAGCTTTCTCATGCCGGTTTCCGTGCACAAGATCGACTCCTTAGTTTCAAGTGAAAATATATTCGCTTGACGATTCCAAATAAAGATATTCATTCTGCACGAATGAGAAGCTACTCGTCTTCGAGTGACTTGCTTGTCGCGTTACCTTTCGACTGCAATTTCACTCGAAGAAATTTAGAGAATACCTCTTCACCGATAATTATTACACGTACGATTATAAGAGAAGCATATGGCACTGCACAACAGTACTATACTCTCTGTTAAAGAAAAAAGAATATATATGTATATAATATAATACTTTTTATACATAAGATCAGCATGAAAATAAGAAGATTCGAGTAGAGGACTTCGTGTGTGATACCGCGTGTGAGCGTTGAGGTACACGTCGGACTGGTTTGGCTCGCAATGTTGCGGCTCATACGCATTTGGTGCGCTTGTTTATCGGCGATTTTCCGCGATCGCGTGGCGAGCGAGGAGTGGCATTGTTGTCTCTGTTTCTCTCTCTGTCGGCCGAGTATATGGGCGACCGAATGCGCCACAGAAGCCTTGCGCAACGACGTGCGGCCTCGCGCGCTAAAATTGCAATTTGCCTGGAATCTCGCGACGGCTACGAGAGAGAGAGAGAGAGAGAGAGAGAGAGAGAGAGAGAGAGAGAGAGAGAGAGAGAGAGAGAGAGAGAGGGAGAGGGAGAAAGAGAGAGAGAGAGAGAGAGAGAGAAAACGGGGAGAGTGCGATATATATATTAGAAATTAAGTGGCTACAAATGATAAGTTCCATAACTCGCGCGTATATCACTGCGACTGCGCGAGACGGCGAATTGTGTAGAGAGCAGCAGAGTTTCATTAAATCCCTCCTGAATAATTAATCTCTTCAATTTTATTCTCCAACTTTCGCGCGACTGCGACGCGGAACTCGTCTCTCGCGGGCACTGTGTATAGTGATTTTAAATGTGTAACAGTGGGCTTCAATAAAACCTTAATATTTACCGGGCCAACCAATTTGTCTAATTGTTTTCACCGTGTGCGAATACAACATGATATATGGTATGACGTGTAATAATAAAATATCGAGCAAAGAAAGAAACAAAGTTTTAAAGTCTCGCAAAAATGCATAAATCGCGATCGAGTCGGATTGCATAAAAATTGAGAATTAGTTGAAGCTGCTGACGTGCATAAAGTTTAAACAACAGCGGAAAGTTTACAAACTGAAACGTTGTATTCAAGATATATTTTTTAACTACCGGAAGGTTGATCTGACTGCGTAATTCTACTTCTGATCGAAAAGTGGATAAGTGAGATGATAAATACAACCGATAAAGTGTCAAGTCAACTTTATGATCGCCTACTTGAATTAAATGTTGAACTGGTTTTCACTAGTACGTTTCTCGTCAATCTATTTCGAAATAGAGTAAAAGATATGAGAACAGTCATATGATCGTCACTTGTTTCGTATTTTATGGGATCGTAAAGTGTTACATTTTTGTCGACGACTATATATATGACAAATTTTCACATCGTTAGGTGAAAAAGTTGCCTAAATAAACCACTCATTAATCACCGTAATACGTAAATTATGATGAGACAAATTGACGCTTTATAAAATTTAGCATTAATATGAATACATTAGGGATATGCAAGTTTCCATCGTTTTTAAGGCAACGTTTTTTATTAATATTATTATAAATGACATAGTATCTTTAATCAAAATATTTTCTGGCATTACCTACTCACCTACATTTTGCTGTCTTTCAGGCGAAAAATAAATACCATCATATAAAAAGCCTTTGCTCTTATAATGAATGAATTTATCAATGAATCATTGCACTTCCTCAACACTGCAAAATCGTGTACCAGGAAGATTGTTCTGCATAGAACAAAATAAGAGAAAATCCGATGGAGCAATATCTGGAGAATGTGCCGGATGTGGTAGGATTTCTCATTGCAATTCCATTAAAGTTTTCCGGATCGTCAAAGCAATATGGGGCTTGGCATTGTCGTGCAGAAGAATCACTTTGTTTTGCTTTGTCGCAAAATATGGTTGTTTCTCGATCAGTTGCTCATTCAGCTGCCTCGATTGTCGACTGTACAATTCCGCGGTGATAGTCTGACATGGTTTTAACAGTTCATAATACAGCACTTCTTGCATATCCCATCAGATACACAGGAGGACCTTATGACTATGCGGATATTTCGTTTTGGCTGTGACATAGAGGGTTCTCTGGGATTTACCCACGATCTTCTGCGATTGGGATTGTCAAAATAAATCCATTTTTCGTCTCCGGTCACATTTCGA